GCCCTAGAAAAGGACCGAGTTCACCCTCCCTAGGAAGGCCATCAGCTGGTTCTGATCAGTGGAGACACCACCCAAGCACTCTCTTCTTGGCCTGTTCTCTCTGCCCCACTCCCACTTCTCTGTAGTTTCTTCCAACAACAAACACCATCCACAAAAATAAACTCCAGCTGGATTAGTGACCTAAATACAGAAGTAAAATCTTAAAGAACTAGGAGATACATAGATGGAGACTTTTATAAACTTGGGGCAGGATGGACTTAAGCATGATATAGAATCCAGAAACTATGGAGGAAAAAAAAGAAGAATGAGCAGACTTGATTTAATAATTTAAGACCTTTGTATAAGAAAATATTTCATTAGAATAAAGTTCAAGGGAATTCATAGAATGGGAGAAAATATAAGTGCCGTATCTAGCAGGTTAGTAGCCATACTCAATAAAAAAGCTCTTAGAAACTAGTCAGAAAAGGTGTGTGCACCCCTGTGTAAATCACATCATTATTTACAACAGCCAAGATATGGAAACAACCTAAGTGCTCATAACGGACGAATGGATAAAGAAGATGTGGTATATATATACGACAGAATACTACTCAGCCATAAAGATAAAATCTTGGCATTTGTCAAAAACCTGGATGGACCTTGATGCTATCATGCTAAGTGAAATAAGTCAGACAAAGTAAGATGAATACCATATGATTTCACTCGTAGGTGGAATGTAAAAGACAAACAAAATAAGTGAACAAATCAGACCAAACAAAGACAAACAGGTCGATACAGAGAACAGAGTAGTGGTTACCACAGAGGAAGGGGTCGGGGGTGGGATGGCAAAATAGATAAAGGGGGTCAACCGTATAGTCACAGCTGGAAACTAAAATTTTGGTGGTGAGCTCGCTGTAGGGTACACAGAAGTAGAAATGTAACGTTGTACACGTGAAACTTACCTAACATTATAAACCAGTGTTACCTCAAAAAATTATTTAATTAAAAGCTCTTAGAAATCAAAAAGAGGACAAAAAAATCCAATTGAAAAATGGGTCAAGGATATGAACAAGTAGAAACCACAGTAAAATGATACGGCGTCTAACAGATTAGTAAATGTTAAAATGTTTGATAACCCCAGTGTCAGGGAAGCCGTGGGAAACAGGCATTCACACACTGTTGATAAGAGTGTAAATCAAAGCAATTAACTTCAAGAGGGAAAACAGTAATATCTAAAATAGAAAAATAAGTTAAAACGCATATACCACTTGACCCAGCAGTTCTGTTATGAATTTATTTAAAACTTTTAAACTGAGGGACTTTCCTGGTGGCGCAGTGGATAAGAATCCACCTGCCAGTGCAGGGGACACGGGTTTGATCCCTGGTCCAGGAAGATCCCACATGCGGTGGAGCAGCTAAGCCCGTGCGCCACAACTACTGAGCCTGTGCTCTAGAGCCCGTGAGCCACAACTACTGGGCCCGCATGCCACAACTACTGAGACTGTGCTCTAGAGCCCGCGAGCCACGACTACTGAAGCCCGCGTGCCTAGAGCCCGTGCTTCGCAACAGGAGAAGCCACCGCAGTGACAAGCCCACGCACTGCAGCAAAGAGTAGCCCCCGCTCGCCCCAGCTAGAGAAAGCCTGCACTCAGCAACGAAGACCCAATGCAGCCAAAAATGAATAAATAAATAATTTTTTTTTAAATGAGCTAAGGTCTGTGTACAAAAACGTTTGTCACAGCATGTTTGTACCTGTGTAATATTAGATACAATAAATGTTCTCTCGTAGGAGACTGGTTGGAAACCTATGGGGTGGCCACAAAACATAAGGCAGTTAAACTGTTACTTAAAGACCTTGTATGTGCAAATAAAAATGTCTCCAAGACGCATTACGTGGGAAAAAGTTTCCAGGCACAGTGTTTAGAATTATTCCACTTATGTAAATTTAAAAGGATATGTGTATATATTTGTGTAGTCATGTCTTTTTCTGGAAAGAAATAAAGGACACTGTGAACAGGCATTACTGTTGGGTAGAGAGACTAGAGGTTGGGAGGTGAAAGATGTTTACCTTTCATATTCTACCTTTTTATACTTAAAAAATACCAGGTTTGTGCATCACCTTTATTTAGAGAAAAAACTCTTTTTTTCCCCCAGAAATAAATCAGGGTGTCTTAGTTTTGGCTCTCCAGAAGCAGACACCAGGACAGAGATTTGAGCGTGAGGGTTCATTTTGGTGGTGAACTTGAGAAACATGAGCAGGGAATGGAGGAGAAGAGCTGGTAGGAAAGGGAAGGCGGTCGATCAACAGTGTCTGTCAATCAGGTTACCACTGAGAGCAAAGGAACGCCGAGATCCAGTGAAAGACTCAAAACGCAGTTAACCCTCCAACGGGTGCGTGTCCGTGAGCTCCTGTGGGTCACTGATTGAAGTCTGCTCTGGGGTGTTCATTCCATGGCTCACAACACACAGACAGAGCGAGGTCTGGTGGCTCTGGGAAGCCTCAGGCAAAGAGTCAGGACAGCCTGCCTGGCAATGGTGGGTGGAGGGGTGTAGGTGAGGCACTGGCCACATCTGCTACAGAGACCACAGCCGTCGTACCAGATTCTAATATATCAATGATATGTGCCTATTTGCTGACTTAGGAATCAAGTCTAGGAATGTCCCTCCTGATATACACTAACCTACCTGGGCCCTGATCAACAATATATATAGGAAGACAGGTTTTATTACAGAATTGTTTTCAATTTTTTTAATTGAAATATAATTGATTTACAGTGTTGTGTTAATTTCTGCTGTACAGCAAAGTGATTCAGTAACATATATATATATATATATATATATACACACACACACACACACATATATATACACACACATTCTTTTTCATCTTCTTTTCCATGACGGTTTATCACAGGATACTGAATATAGTTCCCTGTGCTGTACAGTAGGACCTTGTTGTTTATCCATCCTATGTATACTAGTTTGCATCTGCTCATCCCCAACTCCCACTCCATCCCTCCCCCACCCCACCTTGGAGACCACAAGTCTGTTTCTGTGTCTGTGGGTCTGTTTCTGTTTCATAGATAGGTTCATTTGTGTCATATTTTAGATTCCATATATAAGTGATACCATATGGTATTTGACTTTCTCTTTCTGACTTACTTTGCTTAGTGATAATAATCTCTAGGTCCATCCATGTTGCTACAAATGGCATTATATCATTCCTTTTTGTGGCTGAGTAGTATTCCATCATATATATGTACCACATCTTCTTTATCCATTCATTTGTCGATGGACATTTAGGTTGTTTCCATGTCTTGGATGTTGTGAATAGTGCTGCTGTGAACATAGGGGTACGTGTATTTTTCTGAATTAGAGTTTTGTCTGGATATATGCCCAGGAGTGGGATTGCAGGATCATATGGTAGCTCTATTTTTAGTTTTCTGAGGAGCCTCCACACTGTTCTCCATAGTGGCTGCACCAGTTTACATTCCCACCCACAGTGCAGGAGGGTTCCCTTTTCTCCCCACCCTCTCCAGCATTTGTTATTTGTAGACAGAATTGTTTTCAATACAAAAAATCCAACGCAAATGTGAACCAGTAGGTGATGAATCGAACACATCGTGGTGTATCCTGTGTAAGAAACCAAGAGAAAGAGTGAGGCGTATCTTGTTAACTTTCATGACAAAAATCTCTGAGACGCATTACACTGTATAATGCTCGTGAAGACCAGGTTTCTATACCTTCAGCCCACCACCCACCTGCAGACTGTACAGGGTGACGCAGAAGCCGAGGAAAGAACTGCAGTGCTCAGGAGAGAATTGGGGGGAGAAGGCTACGCGG